TTGGACCAGGGAAGAGGTCAGTTCTTTTTTGATTGAGATCTTATGCTCTTCAATGCGTGCACTTATTCTTCTGTTAGTTTGTCCTATGTATGTGGTGGGGCAGGCGGTGCAAGGGATTTCGTATACTCCTTGGTTTTCTAACTCAATTTTGTCTTTAGGGTTTCTTAGGATGGTGGATATTTTTCTGTTTGTGCAGAATGCTGTTTTGATGTTGTGTTTTTGGAAAATCTTGCTGGGTAATCTTTCTTTGGAATCCATTGGCTTTTAGTATGTTAGTGAGTGTGCGTTTGTTCTGGAGATGAGTGTCTCGACTATGGAATTGATCTGTGCTGGGTGGTGGTGTGAGAGAGCGTGTAGATAGAGGTTTGTATGTGTTTTCTTCTGGTAGATCAATTCCGTAGCCGAGACACTCATCTCCAGAACAAAAGCATAGCCGACGAACAACACCTAAAAACCGAACTACACACTCTCACTAATGTACTAACAGCCAATGGATTCCAAAGAAAGAAGATTACCCACCTAATCCAAAAAGAAACCCCAACCAAAATCCAAGACAGAGAACAAGACAATGGCAAAGCCCTCCTCCCATATATAAAAGGCACTACAGACAAAATCAGCAAGATCCTCCAAAAACACATGAGATTGCCAAAACGTTGCTACAACTTTAAAAGCACAACTATAATGACGTGGTAAAAAAACCCGAACAAAGCTGAATAACATACATGTAAGTACCCACGAAAACTTAAGAAGATAGATAGATAGATAGATAGATAGATAGATAGATAGATAGATAGATAGATAATAGATATAGATATAGATATAGATATAGATATAGATATAGATATAGATATAGATATAGATATGGTATTCAGCTTTGTTCGGGTATTTTCCCACGTCATTGTAGTTGTGCTTTAAAGTTGTAGCAACATTTCGGCAGAATCTCATCTGCCATCATCAGGCTTCTGTATAGTGTTTGTCTGTGAGTCAGACTTTTATAGTGGTTTCAGATTTAAATTTAGGGCAGCTTATTGCTGTGCCAGAATGGTTTTTTCTTCATCCTGATTGGTTGGGAGTCTTGGTCTGTGTTTATTGGTCTTGGAGTTTGCTGTGTTCTGCTTGATTGGTGTTTCTAATATCTTTTGTCTGTTTGGGGGCTCTTTTTGTCTCTTGATTGGCTGGCAATATTGTATTCCTTTATTGAAGGCCTTTAGTGCAGCTTGGCTCTGGGTAAATGGACAGCTATCATTTGTTAGAAAGCTAGGTTTCATCTGGGTGCCTGGTTGGGGTGTGTTTGAGCTGGAGGTATCAGGGGGATCTGTTTGTGCCCAGGTGCTTGTCTGGCTTGTGGTGTGGAGATTTTTTTGTTTGTGAGCGCAGGCTTCCAAATGATTGACAGTCTGGTGGAATCATCGCTTCTATTCGTGCTTTCAGGTCTTTTTTCAATCTCTATGGCTTCTCTGATAATTCTGTGGTGGTGGCTTTCTATAGTGGCTAGAGTTTTGGTGCCATTGAAGTTGTTGCTATGACCTGTGGCTTCCATGTGTTGGGCTAGTGAGGAAGTGTGTTCCAGCTTTTTGACTGCATTTTTGTGTTCATCCAGGCGGGTATTTATTCTTCTATTGGTCTGTCCAATGTATGTGGCCGGGCATGATGCAGAGGGGACTTCGTATATGCCTTGGTTTTCCAGGTCAATTTTATCTTTGGGGTTTCTAAGGATGGCTGCTATTTTTCTGTCTGTTTTGAAGGCAGTCTTGATGTGATGTCTGTGTAGTATCTTACTGATTTTGTCTGTAGTACTTCTTATGTAGGGCAGAACAGCTGTTCCATAGGTCTGTTCATCTTCTGGGTCTCCATAACGTCTCAGTGTGTTTTTGTGGATCAAGCCAGTGATTTTGCTTTTGTGGAAGCCGTTGGCTGTCAGTACTTTAGTCAGGGTGCATAGTTCAGTCTTTATGTGTGTCTTGTCTGCCAGGCGTTTGGTTCTGGTGATTAGTGTTTTGGCCATGGAGTTTATCTGTGCTGGGTGGTGGTGTGATTGGGCGTTGAGGTAGCAGTTGGTGTGTGTTTTCTTCTGGTATATGGTGTGTCCTAGTGTGCCATCTGTTTTTTTTTGTAGATTAGTACATCTAGGAATGATAGTTGCTTGTTTGTTTCCATTTCCATGGTGAACTTGATTTTGGGGTGTGTGCTCTTTAGGTGTGTTAGGAAATTGTTTAGGTTTTCTTTTCCATGGGGCCAAATCACGAATGTTTCATTGATGTATCTTAACCATAGTTTGGGTTTGAGGGTGGCGTTGGCCAGGGCTCTGGATTTGAATTTTTCTTTGAACAGGTTTGCAATGACGGGTGACAGTGGTGATCCCATAGGGGCTCCTTCAATTTGTTTGTATCTTTGTCCTTGTATATGAAATATGTGTTGGTTAAGCAGTGTTCTGTTAGTTCCATGAGGTGTTTAGCTGGTTGCTATTTATTTTTGATGATTTCAAGGGTCTCTTTTATCGGGACTTGGGTGAATAGTGAAACCATGTCAAAACTTACAAGCAGATCTTCTTGCTCCACGTGTAGATCTTTGATCATTTCTAAGAAGTGGTATGAGTTTTGTACATGTGAAGCTGCTGTTTCAGCATGGGGCTGTAGCTGTTTTGCTAGGTGTTTAGCTAGGTTTTGTAGTGGTGCTCCTCTGGAGCTGACTATGGGTCTGAGAGTTATGCCTTCTTTGTGTATTTTTGGGAGGCCGTATAGTTTGGGGCATCTGGAAGATTTTTCTCTTGGTATGATCCTCTGTTTAGGTCTCTTTGCTTATGTGGCTGGTTATAATTTTCTTCTTGGTTAATTTTTCCAGATATGTGGTTGGGTCTTTGTTTATGGGTTTGTATGTGGAGTCTTGGAGTACGTCTGTCAATTTTGTTTCATAGTCTTTTCTGTCCATTACTACTGTGGCATTCCCTTTGTCTGCTGGGAGTATGATTATGCTGCTATCTCTTTTCAGGGTTTGTAGCGCTTTAATTTCTTCTTTTTGCAAGTTGCTTTTGGGTGGTTTGCTTGTGCATAGGATGTTGGTAACTTAGTGTCTTATTTTATCAGCTTCATCTGTATTTAATTTGGTTAGGCTGGATTCTACTGCGCATATGATGGATTCTGTGGGGATTCTTTTGGGTGCTATGGCATAATTGAATACTTTGGTTAGGACATCTGTTTCTGTTTTGGTGAGTTCTCTGTTGGAAACATTGTATACTAATTGTTTCGGGTGTTGTGAGTTGTTGGGGGCTTTCTTGTCATGTTCTAATTTCTTTGGTTTCTTCAAGAGTTTATCATTTTTGTAAAGGGTTTCAGATTCAGCTCTCCAAGTTGTAAATTGTTTTATCTTGTCCTAAAGTAGAGGGTGGATTTTGCTGAAAGCTGAATCTGAAACCACTATAAAAGTCTGACTCACAGATGAACACTATACAGAAGCCTGATGATGGCAGATGAGATTCTGCCAAAACATTGCTACAACTTTAAAAGCACAACTACTATGACGTGGGAAAATACCCGAACAAAGCCGAATGCCATATATGTGTGTGTGTGTGTGTGTGTGTGTGTGTTTTCTGAGGTTCTCACGGGTATTTGTATGTGGATCTTTGGTTATTTGGGTTTTCTCCCATGTAAAATTGGAAGTATCTAGGCAACGTTTCGATGAAGTCTCATTCATCATCTTCAGGCTTCTGTCTCCAGCTCTGTGCTTCTCAGAGTGATGTGAGATTGCAGCTGCTTCTTCCTTTTAACTGCTAGTGGGGGTGGGACTTGATTGGGTGGGGGCTTGGCTGTGTTCTGATTGGGTGGGGGTGTGTTCTCATTGGTAGGGGGTTTGGCTGTGTTCTGATTGGTTGGGGGGCTGGAGAATGGGACCTCGCTGAAACATCGCCAAGATACTCTTAATCTTACATGAGAAAAGACCCCAAAACACCTACACCTACATACCTGTACCCATGAAAATCTACGAATATATATATATGTGTGTGTTTTCTTAAGTTTTCATGGGTACTTACATGTATGGCATTCGGCTTTGCTCGGGTATTTTCCCATATCATAGTAGCTGTGCTTTTAAAGTTGTAGTGATGTTTCAGCAGAATCTCAGAAACCTGATGATGGCAGATGAGATTCTGCTGAAACGTTGCTACAACTTTAAAAGCACAGCTACTATGACGTGGGAAAATACCCGAGCAAAGCCGAATGCCATACATATATATGTGTGTGTGTGTGTGTGTGTGTGTGTTTGTGTGTGTGTGTTTGTGTGTATATATAGAGAGAGGGGGGAGAGAGAGAGACAGAGAGACAGAGAGAGAGAGAGACACAGAGAGAGACAGAGAGAGACCGAGAGAGAGACACAGAGAGAGAGACAGAGAGAGAGACACAGAGAGAGAGACAGAGAGACAGAGACAGAGAGAGATTTTTTGTTGTTGTAGTTGTTCAACAAATAGCAATACCACTTAGACTTATATACTGCTTCACAGAGCTTTACCACAGAGTCAGCATATTGCCCCCAACAATCCAGGTCCTCATTTTACTGACTTCAGAAGGATAGAAGGCTGAGTCAGCCTTGAACCTGGTGAGATTCAAACTGCCAAATTGCAGGTTGTTGGCAGTCAGAATTAGCCTACAGTACTGTATTCTAACCACTGCACCACTGTGGCTCAAATCCAGTTTCCTTCATTGACTTTATTTGCTGTAAGCTACCTGAGAAGGTTGCCAAAAGCAGTCACCTAGCCCTGGGAAACTGCAACTTTCATAAATATATGCCAATTGCCAAACACCTAAATTTTGATCACATGACCTTAGGGATGCTGTGATGGTTGTTAGTGTGAAGATCAATCACTTGATCAATCCTCAATCACTTTTTTCAGCACCATCATAACTTCAAACAGCTGATGAATGAACTTGTCATAAGACAAGGACTACTTGTATTTTTCAGATGATCAACCCTGACTACTGACTTCCCCAAAACCTGAATGGAAAACCTACCTGCAGGTGCTCGGAGAGCAACACAGTATTCAGAATTCCAAAGATTGTTGGGTTCTCCACGCATCCAGTTCTTGTAATTGAAAGCAGACTCATCTGTCCACCTCCAGTTCCCATTCTGAAATCACCAAGACAGAAGAAATACACACCATATCCAAACAAAAGGACCATCAAGTCAACAGAGGTTAGATAGATGTTAGGAATGGGGGACTGGTTATTGATAGAGAAATCTGGAGGATCATGCTTACATGGCGAACATCATGGAGTCCAATCCATACATCAACCCCTTTTTCTTTCATATAGGCAGAGATATGTTTGGATACAATCAATGTTTCTGGCCAGGTAAGGATAGAGGCAAGGTGGGTCCCCCGGCCATAGCTTTGGCACCTGATCTGAATACAAGAGGAAAGCACATGAGGCTGAAATGTTTCATCCATCCCATGTCCTTCACAACTTTCTAACAAATTACAGATCTTACCTCAGCTTCATGCCAGCTCAGCTTCTCATGGAAGAGCCCATAACAGTTCCTCTGATATCGTAACCATTCCCTTGGACAGAATCCAGCTTGAGAAGCTGGGGAAACACAGTAAGACATGAATGATGGAAGAGGTATATGGTCAGGGGTGGGATTCAGCTGGTTCGGGCCGGTTCAAGCGAACCAGAGGTTAAATTTACATCTGGTTTGCCCTGCCCACCCCACCCCACCCCGCCCCTCCCAGAAGTCTTTATGCAGCCCATTTTGGATGCAGGTAAGTGCAGGGTCTGTGCAGAGGCTCTGGAAGAGTAAAAAACAGCCCTCCTGGAAATTCTGTAAGTCTAGAAATGGGCCTGTTTCCAGGTTCTGGAGGGCTTCCGGAGCCTAGGAGAGGCTGTTTTTGTCCTCCCAGAGGCCCAAGGGAAGCCTCAGGACTCTGGGCTCTGGGGAAGGCAAAAAACAGCCTCCCAGAAGTTACAGAAGTCCAGAAACAGGCGTGTTTCTGGGTTCTGGAGGCCCTCCAGAGCCCGGGGAGGCCATCTTCACCCTCCCAGAGGCCTGAGGGAAGCCTCCGGACTCTGGGGAAGGCAAAAACATGGCCCTCTTGGAAGTTCTGGTAGGACACACCCACCATGGCCATGCCCACTCAGCAACTGGGCAGAGAGCCGGTTATTTGGAATTTTTTAATCCCAACCCTGGGTATGGTTATGTCATGACTATAAAATAAGTGAATGCAGGGAGGAGCTCAATATCCCAGCCTCTATAAAATTACATTTTCCCACTAAACTTCATTGCTGTTAAGTTGTTTACAATGGCCTGACATGGACACCATCCCAGGAGAAAAAGATACCAGTTATCTTAAACATAAAGGGAGCAGGAAGAGGTGTCCATGGACTTAAGATACCATCTTCTTTGTTTCTTTAACCTAGTTGGACCTAACAGCAGATTAGAAGGGTCCCTGTCACTATTATTTATTAATCAATCAATCAGAATAGAGATGAAAGGGACCTCTGAGGTCTTCTAGTTCAGTCCAACTCTCTGCTCAAGCAGGAGACTATACAATTTTGGACAACTGACTGCTCAGCCTTTTCTTTAAAACATTCAGTGATGAAGCCCCTACAACTTCTGAAGGCAAGCTGTTCCATTGTCCTCACTGTTAGGAAGTGCTTCCTTAATTCCAAATTGCTTCTCTTCTTGATTAGTTTCCATCCATTGTTTCTTGTCCTGCATTCTGGTGCTTTAGGAGAATAATTTGAGTCCCTCCTCTTTGTGGCAGCCCCTCAAATACTGGAATACTGTTATCATGTCACCCCTTAGTCCTTCCTTTCTCTAGACTAACCAAACCCAAATTCAGCCATTGTTATTCATATATTTTTGTTTCCAGTTCTTTAATCATCTTACTTGCTCTTCTTTGCATATTTTCTCTATTTTCATCATCTTTTTTGTCATGTGGTCATCAAAACTGGATTGCAGTATTCCAAGTGCAGCCTTGCTTTATAAAGCAGTACCAATACTTCACGTGATTTTGATTCTATGCCTCTGTTTATACAACCAAGGATTGTATTAGCTTTTTCTGGTTGCTGCTGCAGCCAAATTAATAATGTCCTTACTTAGGTTTGTCAGTATATTCATGAACTGGAATAGAGCTTGGCAACAAGGTCAGCAAATGAATAGGCATAGCAACTAAATCAGCCAATGAGGATAGTTTGGAAACTGAAACTAAAATAGCCTAGGCGTGGCTCTATATTAAACTCTGCAGCTATATTGAGCTCTGAGTCTGTCTGTTGAAAATGAAACTAACTTGCTTGCTGAAGACTGGAGCTCTGCTCTGAACTTGCAACATGTTTCTGTTTGAGTTTGCTCCATGTTGGAGAAATCTACAACTGGTTTGTAAAATCTACTTATGTTTATAAAGATGTTAAATGAAGCATCAGCCATCTGTGTTTATTTTTCTGGCGCTGAATTATCACTGCAAAACTCTCAATAAAGTTTGTTTCATTTATTCTAACCATGGTAAAACTGTCCGTAGTTTGAGATAAGGCTTTCCTAGGTCTTTCCTAGGGAGAAGCCGGGAATTGAAGTTGAGATCCCCTGTTTACCAAACAGACCTTTTTTACCACTGAACCAAACTGCAGCCTGAAAAAGTCACCAAAACATTGACAGTCATCTAGATAATTCTTGGTTCTCCCTGAACTTGGTTGCTTGCTTGCAGACATTTTATTACTAGTCTATGTAACTTCATCAGGGCACTGATATGCAGTGACAGTGTTGCCTGGTCTGGAAATGATATGTCTGCAGGCAAACAACCAAGCTCCAAGAGGAAGAATTTCATAACTCAACCTTGAGCTAGAAATATTGTCTTCTATTCACAGCCATGTATTTTGGCCTTCCATTTTGCTATATTTGACTGATCAATAGGCAATTTCTCTCTCTTCACCCATCTTGGAACTTCATACCTTTTTTATATATAAAGGACAACTCACCTGCCATGAAAAAGCAAAGAAGCCACAGACCACTATATGCCAAAGATCTCATTTTTGCTCTTCAGCTAAGAGGAAATCAAGAGATATTTTCCATTTAAAAACAATTATTTATTTATTACACCAGAAGAGAGTGCTAGTATTGGGTAGAGATGAAGTGTTGGGTTAGGATCATGAACCATCAAATCTCTTTGTATGAATTTGGACCAGTCACTCTTTTGTCTCCCAGCCTATTTCATAGAATCAAACTTGTGAGCATAAAATAGAGATACTTTCAGCTCCTAAAGGAAACAGACTATACATCAAAGAAATCACAAAGTCATAATCCTTTTATAACCGTAGCTTTCTTTGGAAAATTTAATGTAGCAGTTTAACCAAATGAGTCATGTATAAGCCTTTGTTTTGACTTACTGCAGTTTTTATAAAGCTTGAAGGAACCACATCCTTCATGTTTCCTTTAATCCCAATGCCCTTTCAGCTTTTGCAACTAAACATTTACAAAGCGTTGAAGGAGAGATCAAATAGTGAATCCTTAGCCACAGGTTTTTATAAAACGTTGACATAGATAAAGTTCCACTTATGGAAACTCTGATTCAAGAATTAACCACTATGTTTCCAGTAAAGAAGCCATAAGACATTCTGGACTGAATCATACCTCTCCTGAACAAAGCATGTGGATAGATAGATAGATAGATAGATAGATAGATAGATAGATAGATAGATAGATAGATAGATAGATAGATAGATAGATAGATAGATATAGATATAGATATAGATATAGATATAGATATAGATATAGATATAGATATAGATATATAGATATAGAAGGTAATTCCTGTGTCAGCAAACTGATTGTTCAATGTGAGGAAAACTCTCAGTTCTTCAATAATAAATTCTGAAGTTATGAAACTCCCAATCAGTTGACAGATGATCATTAGATCTTCTGCAACAGTAGATTCGCTAGAACAGGGGTGTCAAACTCAAGGCCCAGGGACCAGATCCGGCCCATGGCGTGCTTAGATCTGGCCCATGTGGGGCCACTATGGAAACAGCAAAGGACTGGCCCATGGTGCCTCTGCCAGGAAAAAGTTTGGCTGGGCTGCATGCACTGGCAGAGGGTTTCATTGGCAGAGGGTTGCAGGAGGCTGTTGCAGCTGAAAACTGAGCTCAGGAGCCTGTTTTCTCTGGCAGAGCGCTCGGGCCACCACAGGTACCCCTGACAGGAATGATGTCGAGCTGGCCATGCCCACTCTGGCCATGCCCACTCTGGCCATGCCCACTCTGGCCATGCCCACTCTGGCCCTCTGAGGTCAAATACAAGCCTGATGTGGCCCTCAATGAAATCAAGTTTGACATCCCTGCCCTAGAATCAGGTATTATTGATTTCCAGGAATGGGAAGAAAGTTGTCAATTCCCTAATAAGCTGTGTGTGAGTGCAGAGGAAAAAACCTTCACCCTCCTCAAATTGAATACAACATATATAGAGTCTCTTATAATTTTTATCCATACAATTCTGGGTGTGAAAGATAATCATGTCTACATCTTAGACTCTGAGCCATTCTACTATTGCGAGTGAGAATAAATGATGGTGAAGACCAGTGGACCAACTGGCAGAGCAATAATAAATAGACCAAAAAAACTACTCCATAACAAGTTGTGTAGATCAGTCTCTAAGGCATTGTGCTCTGGTGTGAGAAAACATCCCTAAAGGCAGCTTAACCAATATGATTAGGTCAACAACATAGAATATGGAGGAAGCTGATGCCTCACCATATCTTTCTATCAAATAACAATCATGAGTCAAACCAACACAGTAGAGTTAGTGATCTTCAACAACCCAGAAGGGGAAGAAATATTAACTGAACTGAACAGAACAGAACAGAACAGTATTTATTAGTCTGAACTGAAAGAAATTCATTGTGAATGTCAACAAGTGAATTCCGTGGTCAATCGGGGACTTGAACCTGAGTGTTTCTACTTATCAGCTTAACATCTAGACTACTCTACCAAGACAAATAGAAACATTTGAATTGCAGGAAGAAAAACAGCAGCACAAAATGACCAATTTCTGGTAGTTCCAGTGTCCATGTGGGATTGAGACTGATGAACACACCAAACAGCATTTTCCCATTTGTAACAAGGAGGTTTTGCAGTAACAGAGATAATAGTTGGGATAGAAAATCTTGAAGGACAACAGGAAAACCGCAAAGTGGAAGGATGAGAAAATAGAAACAAGTGGGAGGAAAGGACAGGGTTAGGGTTGCAAATAACAGAGCTCTGTGTTAATGTGAAATGAATGATGTATCTTTAAGGAGTATTCTCTTTCCTTAAGTGCATATTTCAAAGCACTTTTACCTAGTTTTTTAAACCAAGAATGATATTAGAAGATTTTACTAGCAATGAAAAGGTGTGTGTGTGTGTGTGTGTGTGTGTGTGTGTGTAGGTTCTACCTGCTTGCCCATTATCAAATGATAAGCAATAGAAAGTCTTCTGCCCATTCATTGCAGAGCCTCAAGCATTAGATATTTAGATATTTAGATATCTAGATATTTATACACTCACCCAGACTTAAGGAGTCTCCCTGGATATTCAGCTTTTGAGTGTCATATTCTCCTGACACTACTGCTTTTATCTAGATCTTTGTTGTAATCTGGAGGAAACCTGGGGCAGAAGGATGAAACTTTTCATTTCCTTGTTGTGTAACTATGGGCAAGCTAAGCTGGGGGGCATTTAGAATGAAAGGGTAGATGCAACTTATGCTATCTTGATTTAGAAAGTATCCAGGAACACTTAAAATTTCACAAGCACCAACCAACATCTTTGTAATTCAAATAATACCCCTTTTAATTTTGTTTCGGCTCTTACAGAAAACTTTAAGAAAACTGCAAATATGATCCATATATTATCATGGATTCTTTATTGACTAGAGAATTCCCACTGATGTTGATTTAACCAAAAAGTGTTGACATTTCCTGCAATTATTGTTTTTATAGCTCTTCGGCATCTAGAATTAGAACCATGCCTTAGGGCTGATTTTGCCAGGAGCCTAAAGAACAAAGAATTGTGGGTAGAATAGCTATAGCAATATGCAAACAGTAGCATATAATGACATTTGGAAGTAATTACCAGTTTGAACAAATACCCAGAATCATAAGCAGGAAGACAACTTGAGTAGGACTCTGCAAAGGTTGAAGGTGATGATGTGAAAATCTCTGAATCTCACACAAGTGAAAGCAATGTCTGCAGTGTTATTAGACAGAAAATGGCTTAATGTGTAACTTACTCATTCATGAAGGGTGGGGTGAGTGAATTATGTTGTGAGAAGTGAGCTAGCCTAAAAAAAATTGGTCTACATTGCAATAGTCACGAACTGCCAAGTGGATAAAATTATGCCAGAGCAATTGAGCCCAGTTAAATATCTTTAAGTAGCACAATGCATCTTTTTCTGCTCATGGTATGATTAGAGAGTGTATTGTTTTCATGCCTTCACATTTGTATGTTTCACAGTGCATCCTTGAAATGTATGTTCTTCCTTTTCCATACATATGTTTGCGTACTAACACTTATTGCTAAATTTTCAGCTGACTAGAAAAAACAAAACCAATTTGGATTGAATAAAGCAATTTTTGGTTCAGCTCATCATGCTTCAATTCAGGATTTTGGATCATTTTAAAAAATCATTCACTGAAACCAGGAATTCAAGCAATCTTTTCTAGCCCAAGCAAATCTGAGTTCTTTCATTTAGGTCCTGTTTTCATGGATCTCATCTCTCATTTACAATTAACCTTTAGTTAACCCAGACTTTACTAAGCCTTATTGTTTTTTGCTCACTGAAAAGTGAATGCAAATACAGGTAGTCCTCAACTTACGACTACAAT